TATATATATATATATATATATATATATATATATATATATATATATATATATATATATATATATATATATATATGCATTATGTATTATGATATCGTTTCTCACCCTTCCGCTGTTTTATAATGCCCTATGAGGCATTGCAGATTAGATTGCTGGAGTTTTTGTGAAGCGTGACTTCATTTGTTTTGGTCGGTCGGCTCTGATATGTAGCATCGGGTAGCTAGGGATTATTTTGATTCTTTTGTGATACATCTATGTTTGTATCTGCTGATGAATGTTGATGAAACATGCTGATGAATATTGTATATATTGATGATATTGTAAATCAACTTGAATGATGTATATGTATGTGATTACATGTTTTGGAGGTTATGGAATATTTAGATGTTTCCGCCTATGTTCTAAATATTTCCCTTGTGGGTGTTACCCCGTTGTTGCATATCTGTTGAGCAGGTGTTGCATATGTTGAATTTTTTGTATAATGTGATATGCCCCTTTTATACCGTGATTGTAATTATACTCTGATGATATATTGATTACATGCCTAAATGATTAATTGTGTTTATTTTGGGGTATAGAAAGGGGGTGTTACACCATACCCCATACCTATCTCACACCTCAATCTACTTGTTTTAATTAAGTTCAATCACTACATAATTTCACCTCTTAATGTCAAGTATACACTCTTCACCACCAATCACCATATATATATATACTGGTCACAACTCAAGGAATACTATAAAACAATAGAACCACCTCACCGTACAAAAATCACAATTTGGTGTCATGCTCGCTGGCTCATTCGCTTAGCGAAGTCCTAGCGAACGCTCGCTAGCTGCTCGCCTAGAGAACTCCCTAGCGAAGGTAGACAGTGGCTACCGGAAGCCTTTGCTACCCATCTCGCTTAGCGAAGCCATAACGAACACTCGCTACTAGCTCGCCTAGAGAACTACCTAGCGAATCGCTCGCTAGCTACTCGCTTAGCGAGTTCTGCGATCTCTCAAAATCCTCACAGTCCATAACTGTTATCTTGCTCAAATTCAAGCCTATCATTCTACTTCTATCTTCAATCATATCAATACTACAACCAATAAACACTACTCTATCATTTCCTATCAATTTTAACTCCAGAACCCACACCTATGTTCATCCTCAGAACTACAGAAGTTACTCAGAACTTCCCCAATCTCACAACAACACGTACCCAAAGTCATCAATGGAAGCCATGCTCATAAACACATCAATGCACAAACAATTCGTTATACCAACAACTATAATCATCAACATTTCAATATATCATTCATATTCACCAAACTCCTACGGGGTTAAGGAATCCCCTCTACCCTGTTCATGCAATTTACCAATCTTAACCCGTTTCTGCCCCTTACCTCGATTAATGCTCCGATTGACGAAGAACTCTGAAGAACTGTTAGCCTTAGCCTTCTTCTCTTCCTCCTTGTTCTTCCTCTTTCCTCTTCTCTCTAAAACTGACTTATCGTGTTCTAACTCTCTCATTTCCCTCAACCTCTTCTAATACCCCTTTAATCCTTATTTTATTAATGATAATAATAATAATACAAATAATAATAATGATAATAATAATAATAATAATAATAATAATAATAATAATAATAATAATACTAATTATTAGATTATCATCATTATTGATTATATTATATTATTATTAACTCTACATTTTATTAAATAACTCCTATAACTCAAGGACACCCCCCTACGCGCTCAGATACACTCTCCCACAAAGGACACACCAAAATAAAATAACACCAAAAGACTAGATAATTAAAAATGGGTGTTACAAAAAAGAGAGAGAGTCAAGCCTTTTATTCGCTTTCTCGATTGCTTGGGCCCGAGAAGCCTTTCTTAAGCTTCAGCTAATTGTCACCTCTAGCTAAACATCTGATAAATCAAACCATGTTTTCTCGCCCCCGTGTGATCAAACCCTAAAACATATTCAAACCGATTTAAATATATTCTCTTCTCCAAACACATAAACATCCAAAACATCAACTTATTTAATCTCATTTTTCTCGCCGCCGTGCGAACTGTCAAACCTTTTCATAAACTTGAGATATGGTGTCTTGAGAACGACACAAGATATTGCTTCGTCCGTAACCTACTCGAGTCAATATAAGTGGCGTGTTCCCCATGAATGTCGATATATAGAAATCCATTCAAAGTGGTGCAAACGTCATCTCTTCACTAGTTTAGATAAAGTAATATTTTCTGTCGAATACGTGTTAGATGTCAAATTTCACTTATTTGATCTATCAAAAGTTGGCATTTTTCACTCATTTTTGTCAATTAAGTGTAGAAAACCACTCTTGTTTTGTTTGGTTTGCAATATAGTGTGAAAAGTTCTTGGTACCTTTGATTTGTGTGTTATTGTGCAGGAATTAGGCACAAAACAAGTGAAGAGTAAGACACAAGAAATGGGCAAGGAAACCAAGACAAGATGCAAACCACCAAAATGTTGTCATGCTCACTAGGCGAAATCAGAGCTGCTGGAAGAAGCTGGAATCTGTCATGCTCGCCTGGCGAAGCCCAGCGAGTGCCAGCGAAGGTTCGCTTGGCGAGTGCTGGCGAGCCAGAGCAAGTAATTCAACTTAAACTCCCAGACCAAAAGGACATAAAGTTCGCCTGGCAAGTGGAGCCTGCGAAGGTTCGCCTGGAGAATGATTCCTTCGCCTGGCGAAGGTACGATGACTCAGAAGGGCGGTTTGCTACTGAAGGCACTTTGAAGTGCCTTGTTTCTGTTGTTCGCCTGGCAAATGTCCCTGTTCGCCTGGCGAATGGGCGAAAACAGAACATCTTTTTGTGCTATATTTACTGCTTTTTAGGTCATAACTTAGGGACTTTTAATTATTTTCCATCTTGTAACATTGGGGAACATCATAACAGAGAGAGAGAAGTAAAACCCTAAGAGGGAGGAGGTAAGATCTTCGATCTCTTGTTGGGGTTTGGATTGTAATCTTTTGATACCTTATGTATTTCATCTAATATATGTTTGTGAACTTATTTTGGATTCTCTATTGATTGAATATCTTTGATTATGTATTTATGGGTCTTGACAAAACCTTTTCACATCTTTAATCTCAGATTTTCTTCTATCAATGAACAAACTTTTGACATGGTTTTGAAGTTGATATTCATGTATCTTCTATGGTGTTGTGTTGATTAAGTAGCATGGGTAGCATGGGTAGGATCAATATGATATTGTGTGGGTATGTGATAATAGTGATGAAGAACGATGTTCACCGACATTTGGCGGATTAGATGAATACATGTAAAAAGGGTTAAGCGTGTGTACGTATTCTGATCATTGTATTTTATGCAAAACAATAGTTTATCTGATATGGGTTTCATTCTTGTTTACCTGTTAATCTTTGATTTGAATCGTAATAGAGATATACTTTTCGGATCTGGATCTAGGATGATTGCCTGTTAGGTCCTAAACGCTAGAGATAAATTTAGGCTTAGCATTTGCGTGAGTATCAGATCTTAATGCTCTGTGTTGTGTTTTTGTTGGGTGAGAGATCACCAATGAGACAACACGGTTTTTCTCTCGACGCCACGTTAGAGATAAGCTTTGTCTTGAGTGATACGTAAGGATATTAGACGAATGATTGTGTTGTGTTTAATTTGATCAGAAGAATGCATGTGTTATCAATTGATGAAATCCAATCCCAACAAGGCTCCGTTTATATTTCAGTCTTTATTTATATTTTCTGTTTTTATTTATGGTTCCCTGAACCTTTTTAACCAACCCTGTTGAATAATAAGCTTAGAAATATGGAAATCGTTGAACGACGTTCAAATCGCACTGATCCCTGTGGAGACGACAAAACTGAGTTACTTAATATTTTTTGCTTGCTGCTTTACCGCACCAACAATACGACTAAGTATCTTTCGTTAAGTCAAACCGGCAACCGTAGTTTGAACTACGGACGCTCTGATTTCTCGTATGTTAACGAGAATACGTAGGCACAAGATTGCGATGATCTTGGTGAGCACAACCTTTTCCTTTCTCCCGTAGTCCCACGAACTACGATGCTATGACTTTCCCATTGCACAAGAGAGTATGTAGACACAAGGGCCCCAATCCTTGGCGAGCACTCTTTTCTAAAACCACCCATTCCTCCTCAACAATCTAAACCTTTTATCTTACCTTTACACCTTTTATCTTGGAAGAACACAAATAAACTAGACTAACATTTCTCACGAATCGAATCAAGAGGTTCCCGTTGAGTACAACGGACATGAAGGGTGCTAATACTTTCCCCTCGCGTAACCGACTCCCGAACCTAGAACTTGGTTGCGATGACCATGTTTTTCCCCTAAAGGTTTTATCGATATTTTCTTTTCCCTCTTATAAATAAATAAAATTCGATGGCGACTCTGTGTTTTCCGCGACCATTCGCAAAGGATCGTGCTTTTTTTAGGTACGACACTATGCATCAAACCTTTTAAATTTAATTTATTGTTTATTTAATATTTTTTTTAGTTATAATTAAACTTTTCTTCATTTAGTTTTAGTCAATAGTAAAATCAAATATATTTAATTATTTTTCAACTTTTCAACTTTTAAATGATTTTTCAAATATATTTTGAATATTATAATCGTTTATTTACCAAAATTTCATATATTTTTACAAATTCCAAATATTTAAAATAAAATACCAAAATTGGATATAAAAACCATATTTTAATTTAATTTTGTGCCATTAAAGTTTTTATAATGTTTTAATGACTCCTATATCACTCAAAAATACAAATAGTAAATAACAAAGTCGAATAATCTATAAATGAAATTATGGCCGACCACTAGTTAAGTCTTGAACTGAGTGCTCACTAATCCCTGGGATGGGAATACCTTAACCTTCTCTCTCTCTGTATCAATCATCTTCAATTCTTTCCATTTCTCTCTTGCAATTTCTTTCCTTGCGACTCCTTTGAATTTTCTTAGCCTAAGACTTACCATAAACATGTCTATTCCGAACCTAGATTCACATCACCTGCAGCAAGATCCTAATAGCAACGCCGATCCTCAGGTTCCGCTTCAGAACCTATCCCTGGTTCGGACCAGAATCGATTCTCTACGAACATTCCTCTCCCAATCCATCAACGCCAACACTCCCTTCACCAACGATCAAATAACCGTCGTCTCCAACCAGATCGTCTCCGCCATCAACCACACCATAGTCAACGCTGCCGCACTTGTCTCTTACTATCAAAATATCACCGTTCCCGCAGCCTCCGTCCGCTTCAGACCAGAACCATCCGCCGTGGATAACGCCAAACAACATATGCTCGATTCAAAAATTGAACCACCTGACAACAACTACCTCACCGGGGATGACTCCGATTCCGACTGCGAAATCGTCGAGCTCGACGCCGTCGAACTGTTCGCGGAACATCTCCATTTCTGCGAGATTTGCGGGAAAGGTTTCAAGCGCGACGCAAATCTGCGGATGCACATGAGAGCGCACGGGAACAAGTTCAAGACGCCAGAAGCGTTGGCGAAGCCTTTAGACGGAAGCGCACGCCGCGGTTCGCGGTTCTCGTGTCCGTTCGAAGGATGTAACAGAAACAAAAAGCATGGGAAGTTCAAGGCGTTGAAATCGGTGATTTGTGTTAAAAATCATTTCAAGAGGAGTCATTGTCCGAAGATGTATTCGTGTGATCGGTGTCATAAGAAGAAGTATTCGGTGCTTTCGGATTTGAAGAGCCATATGAGACAGTGTGGTGGAGAGCGTAGGTGGAAGTGCTCATGTGGGACCACGTTTTCTAGGAAGGATAAGTTGTTTGGACATATTGGTCTGTTTGAGGGTCACATGCCTGCTGTTGTTTTGGAAGATGAGGAGGAGAAAGGGAAACAAGTTGTGGTGCAGGAGAGCGAAGGGGATTTGGATTTGGATATCCATATGGATGAAGACTTCTTTAATGATTTTGGGTCTATTGATAACTATTGTTTGAGGGAAGTTTTGGGATTTTCTGATAGCTAACTAGTTTCACAGAATGGTTTCTTGTGGGTTTTGTTAGATTGGATTCAGACATTACCCAATTTGGGTATTTATTCTATCCTAGTAGGATATTTGTATTTATGTCTTAGTTAGCTTCTGGTTCTACCATGGCCAAAATTGATTTTGATCGAGCTTGTCTTTATGTTAGCGTTGGATTTGTCGATCACAGTGAGTCCCATCACTTTGCCAATTATAGTTTGGGCATGATCAGACTGAATAAGGGATGTGATGAGACGCAATAGAAGTATTTTAGACTCTTTCAAAAGGGGTCCATTTTGTAAATTGATTAGTAATTTCAGTAAAAAGTGAGTTTAAAGCATGTTGTCTAATTTTGTTAAACGTATATGGAGCCATCTCAAGAGCTTGCTTAGAGTATAAAGTGCAATCTATATTTGAGTTATTTTGTGGATTCTATTAAGCTACCTTATTTTAAAACAACTCATTCATTTTTAATTTTAATAGTACAAGAATTCATACTGAGATGCATAACTTTACTTCAAATATTAGTCTTTTATTTATATTAAATTTTATTTAAAATATTAAATTTAACTGATTTTAATTAATATTAACATAGATAAAAGGGTATGGCTTAATTGTAACTATGGTCCTCTTATTTTGTAATTTTTTGAGTTTTAATTCCCCCATTTTAAAAACCACGATTTTTGTTTCTTTTTTAAGTTTTGAGTTTGATTTTAGTCTCATCTCCAATTTGAGACTTTTTTTATTGAGGTGGCGCTATTTAAGATGATGTGTCAATGCCAAATCATTAAGCTTAATATGTATTACTTTATCCTGGTTCCTCCTTTCTAATGGTTGCAATATTAATCATATTTTTTTCTCCTTTATTTATTAGATCAATGATCTTCATAGAATATAACAATTATTTGAATTTATTTTTAATTTTATTTCTTTAGTTCTAACTGCTACTCTTAGAGTAGAGTAGAAAAGGAACATTTAATATTTTGTTTGTGTTTAGGGTTGACTCTTTATTTTCAAACAATATATGTGAAAAAGAATAATATTATACACATAATCTGATTTAAATGATATACATGAAACAAAAACATAATGATTAATTGAATATAGTTAAACTTAAAAGGATGCATAATGCATTTTTCTTAAGATAACATCAATCAACCAACGTTACTAAGCAAACACTATAGTAATATAAACTAACAATGACACGAGTGTTAGAAATATAGCTTGCAAAATATGACTACTGTTGTTTTGTATTGGCAAAAATTATAGTTATATCCGTCTCTCTCGATTTTAAGGAAAAAACTGTCTTCAATAATAGCTCAACAAGTAGAATTATCCCTTATAAGGTAGGTTATGACTTTTGATGTTGTAAACACATGAAATGGAATAATTTAACTAATGAAAATGATACAATTTGATAATCATTTATATTGTTCTCTAAGGTTATAACTCTGTAAGTTTAGAAAGATTTGAGAAAGTTCAAAATCCATTTTTATTGCAGAGCTAATAGTATATGTATAGAAAATATATCATTAAGAGTTTGTAAAACAACATCATTCAAACTAAGAAACTCATTTCAATTGGCTACAAATTTCTCCTTCACTTGCTCATTTAAATGGTGAAAAGATGAGATGGATAGCATAGCATAACAATAGATGGTGTTTCATAGTAGTCTTACATTATTTTCTTTACAAATGTTTTTAGTGTTTATATATCTTACACAAACACAACAAATTGATTGTGTGTTAGAAAGATGGATCAAAGACATGGGCCAAAAAGGCCAGACCCAAAGTGTTTTATTTAAAATTTTGATTAATTAATTAATTAATTAATTAAAATAATATTAATAAATTAATCATCTTAGATAGCGCCACATCATCTTAGATTAATGACTTGGCATTTACACGTCACCTTTGATAGCGCCACATCATTAAAAAAAATCTCAAATTGGAGAGGAGACTAAAATCAAACTCAAGATTTAAAAAAAAAAAAGGGCCAAAATTATGGTTTTTAAAATGGGAGGATCAAAATCCAAAAAAGTGCAAAATAAAGGGACCATAATTGTAATTAAGCCAAAGGGTTTAATATGTATGAGGTCCCTATGAATATGACAACTTTCAATTATAGTCTCTCAAAAAAATTTCTTCAAACAATGGTCTCCATAAAGATTTCCGTCATGAAAAATGGTCCCTCCTGTTAGTTTCCTCTAACGGAGGGTGATGTGACATGCCACTGAGATCCTTGTCATGGCCACGTCTAATTGAAATGGAAGAATTGTTTTGTTATCATAAATAGCAGAGGAATAACGTGTGAACTCTAATCCATCTTCCTCTTCTTATTATTCACCATCTTCATATTCCTCTTCTTATTCATTCATATCGTTCTTCTTCTTCTTCTTATCCCCTCAGCCATCTCAGAAAATGTCATCTTCACCTAGGTTAAGCAAATGAGTTTCTTACTATTCGACTAGTGTGACAAATTATGGAGGGAAAAGGTGTGGATGCAATGGCGTTATTATTTAATACACGTGCAAGAATGAAAAGAACAAAGGTCGACTGTTTTGGAGGTGTCAGTATTGGAAAAATGAGGCAACCTGCAATTTATTTATTTGGGATGATGAAATTGCAAAAGTCAAGGATGATGAGGAATACACAAATTCATAATGGAGGAAGGACGATATCAATGTGATGGAAATGCAAGCTTTAAAAACTCTGAAAGAGCTCTACAAACCATCCATGGAGAAGAACAAGAGGTTGAAGTCGAAGATTAAGGAAAAGACATTTTGGGGGAAGCTGAAGACATTATGTGTTGCAGTTTCAGTCTTGTTCAATTTGTATTTTTTAATTAGGTGTAATTGTTGATTATGTGTAATCTTCTGTAATGTTTGTGTAACTGTTAATGTTGTATAAGTGATCTGTTGTTAAATGTAACATGAATTGGTTTTGTTTGAAATACAAATTGGTATGTTCTATTTGTAATTTATTAGTAGTTCATTTAGTATTGTTCAATGAGTATGTCGAATATGTAGTTTTAGTTATATAACATAGTTTTGACACAACCTGACCTATAAAATGGACATAATATTAGTGTATAAAATTGAGTGTATAAAACTGACTGTATAAAATTGGACATAGTTTCAGCCAATTAGTATTGTTCTGTATGGTTAAAATTGAGAGTTCTGATTGTTGTGGTGAGAATAGGATATCAAATTATTAATTAATTTGAATCACAAATCTTTAATTCACAACCGGTCTTTGATTTATCTGAAGGAAAGGTCAAAGAAAGGAAAAACCTATTTTTTGTATTGTAAACAATGCGGGAAGAGATCTAGGTAAGGGGTTGGTTAAGCCTAGGGAAGATATTAACATCCTAAACTTCTGTAGTACTCTATAGGAACCTCTTGTTTAAAGTTTACTATATTGCTTGATTATCTGCTTTAGGGTATATGCTAAGGGTTAAAGGTGAAAGAGAGACCTAAGGGTTAGTCCTAAGTTTACTCGTCAAGATTCGCATCTTGTGCCTACGTATCCGAGGTAGGGGATGAAATCAGAGTAATCGTAGTTCCCCTTGAAAGGGAGGTAGAGAAACTTCTTGACGGTGGTCAAGGTTTCAATGGGGAATAAGCGTTCTTAAGGAAGCGCTTACGTGGAGTGTGGCGACTCCTATCTCTACGTTGTAATTGAATTGAAATTAAAAAGGGTAAAATAGGTATTTCACGGCAGAAACCCTAATATGGAGTACAAAGACTCCTTATCCTAAAGATAGGGTAAACGGTAAAACTTCTCCACGGCGACACGCCTAAAAATAGGGTTTAAATGGTGAAAAAGTCAAAAGTAAGGACTATTGACACATCGGTCAAACGGCTAGACCTAATCCTTCGGAAGGGATTTAACGGAAATAAAAATAATAAAAATACGATTAAGCGGCAGTATGAAAATACGGGAAAGGTACGAAAACGGTAAAGGAATTGCACAACGACGATATCCTCGCATAAATTACAACCCAAAGAAAATAAAATGCGGAGAGTAAGGGAATTGCAAAGTGACAATATCCTCGCGTAAATTACAACCATAAAATGAAATATGAAAAATAAAGTATTATAACAGTACAACTGAGAAAGCAATGAATGGACCGACATAAAAATTATACGAGAATAACCGGCAAGGTTTAATGTGAAATTGAAAGCGCAACGTTAGACGATTTTAGAAAAGAGATTTAAACTAAATGAGGAATTTACAAAAAAAAAAAAAGAGTTTGAATTTAAAATGTTAATTTTTAATTTTGTTTACTTTTAATGGATTAATAAAAATCTTATTTTTTTTCAAAAAAGATTTTTTCAATTGAGAATGTTGAATTTTAAAGAAATGTTCTAATCAACTTTTAAAAAAAGGTTTCAAGTTAACTTTAAGAAAATGTTTTAAAAAAAGGGTTTTAATTTTAACAAAGGATTTTAATTTTAATTTTTTTTAAACAAAGGCTTTCATCTTTAAAAAAAGAGTTTTAGTTTAGGAAATGTTTTAATTAAAAAAAAAAGATTTTAACTTAAGAAATGTTTTAATTTAACCTAATTAAACTAAATTATAAAATAAAAATAATAAAAAAAGTTTTAACTTTATGAAATGTTTTATCAACCTAATTAAATCAAAATATAAAGTTAAAATAAAAATGAATGAATGGTTTTAATGAATCTAATTTTCTTAAACTATAAAAATATAAAATAATACTAATAATAATAATAATAAAACAATGAAATAAAGAAAAAGAAAAAGAATATAAAGCGATTGAAATAAAAATGGGGGAGGGGGCGCACAACTTCTCCATTGTTGTTCTTTTGAAGTTTTTCGTTCATTCCTCCCACCATTCTTGCTCTTCCCGGTAGGGTTCTGAAAACACAAAGTAAACGAAAAAAAACTTGTTAGTATCAAAATTGTTCACCTTTTTCGCCTCGTTTTCCTTATTTTTCTGCTGATTGAACTTCCGTTTTTCTTCCCCCTTCTGGATTTCCTTTTTTATATTAGTTGTTTGCCTTCAAATTATGTTTGTACTTTTATATTAATGAAATGAGCATTGCGACTTTTGATTCAATTCATTTTGTCTATTTGGTTCCATCTTTATGCTTTATCTTTTAAAATATGCATTTTTGTTCAAAATTTTGATATGCAAAGATTGGAGAGAGGATGACGAAAATGTTATACCCATAACTGTTGTCGATATACTTTCAATCAAACTTTGTTGACGATGTAAGGTATTATTTCAATCCCCAAACACTGGAGAAATAAGGAAGTTATTTCCTTGTCACCCCTTTGAGCCAAAAAGTTGGAGTTTCTTTCTTTACAAAAAACCCGCAATCTTAACTTGATCAAATTTCTCCGTGTAAATTTACCCGCTTACACTCAAGCAACTAAATTCGCTCGATTACGTTCCACCGATCAAAATCATCCGATTAAATTCAAACGACTAAATTCCTCTGATGAAACTCATCTAAATAAATTCCTCTGATTAACTTCATCCAATTAAAATTATCTGATTAAGCTTTGACGTTCCAAATTCTAAATTCGGTAATTAATCATCTTGCACGACTTAAATCTGACGTAACTGATGAGTTAAAACAAGTCCCTTTTGCCCTTCATAGATTAAATTGCACACAACGTGATTTTTCTGCAAATAAAACCAACAGACTGGACAAACTGGTTAGCGGTCAGTTAAAATGCGATGCAGAATGAGATGAGATGCGAAAAGAACCTAATAATCTAAGGGTAAAATTTGGGGTGTGACACTAATCAATAGATTAATAAAATTCACATTGAGACTACATCAGTACAATATTACAGGTTCATTAACTTAAAATTGAGAGTACAAAAATATTCACATTGAGAAACTTAACATTGAGAAACTGATTAAAATATTTCACATTGAGAAACTGATTAAAATATTTCCCATTGAGAGTACAACAGAATTCATTAACTTAACATGCCATAACAGGTTCAAAAGAGTACATTAGTACAATATTACATTACATCAAAAGAACATGATTTGTTCAAAATGCTACATCAGTACATCACATTGACCAAAAAAGTACATTACATCAAAATATTTGTTCCTAAACAAATCCATCTGACAAAAACTAATGCTTCATTGGGTTTGACCTTTGCCATTGGTGTTGTCTTCTTCAGTTAGATCCAAAGGGTCATTGGGTTTCTTCCCAGGACCAGGAATATTGTTTGTTTTCAAGGTCCTCAATCTTTCACTATGCCTTTTTTCTGCTGCAACATTGGTCTGAGTCTTGTACCTGCTCTGGATCTTAAACTTAGGTGGTTCACTTGAACTTGGCCTTGAAATATTTGTTCTAATACCATGTGGTTTGAAAGGCTTATTCTTGCATATTTTGGGTTGCTTACCAAGGAAAACCTTGACATTACTTTGTTTTGGTGCAGTTGCCTTGAGAGGTGATTTGTCAACCCTTAAAGGTTGTATACCCAAGACCTCATCGCCTTCTAATAATGCAGCCAAAGTTTCATCCAATGAAGCAGGTGTAGCATTATTGGTTGGCTCACATGGTTTAGTTACCATTTCATCAATTGGATCAGTTGGGTCACATAGTTCAGTGACAGTTGAATCAGTTAGATAGTTGGATCAATTGGATCAGTTAGCTTACATGGTTCAATGACAGTTGGATTAGTATTATCCTTTCCCCCATTAGCCTTACTTGACTTTCATTCATTGACAGAATCCATTCCTTCATTGACACGTGACTTTCCCTCATTGACACATGATTGTCCCTCCTTGGCACTTGACTTTTCCTCCTTGGTAGTTGACTTTCCCTCATTGGCATCTGACTTTTCCTCCTTGGATGTTAACTCTCCCCCCTTGGCACCTGACTTTTCCTTCTTGGCACTTTATTTTCCCTCTTTGACAGTTGACTTTGCCACCTTGACAATTGACTTTTTCACATTGACAATTGACTCTCTCTTCTTGACACTTGATTTCCCATCCATGACAGCAGCTTCCTCAATTACAACTTGTTCCATATTAATAGATGCATATTTGACAATTCCCTCATTCACCTTTGTCTTCTTTGTTCCTCCCTTAGATGTACAATTGGTGGTTGATCCCTTAGGCCTCCCCTGCACAAAACAAACAAATAATTCACATTGATACCATTGCATAAAATACATGTATAAGAAATCATTAAATGTCAGATTTAAGTTAAACAATACCCTTTTTTTGGGTGCCAAATTGACCTTGCTAGTCTGACTTGCTTGTGTAGGTTAGTCTTGAGTGGCTTGGTTTGGCATGTCTTGAGTGGCTTGGGCGGGTAAGTCTTGAGTGGCTTGAGTGGTATTACCAGAGGGAACAACCACAATTTTCTTGTTCTTCTTGCAGGTCCTTTTGTTGTGACCTAGTTCAAAACAAGCCTTGCACATATGGCTTGTATTGGTCCTTTGCCACTTTTCCTGGTTCGCTTCATCTGGCTCTCTCCTTCTAAGTTTATAGGGCCTACCTGGGCCACGTTTGAACATAGGGGAAAACATGGTTTCATCTGATGTTTTTGGCCATTTGTTTTGGCCATTCAAAGGGGTAATAACTTCACTATAACATTTTTCATAAGTGCTTTTGTGGTAACACTTATGCACATATTGCATAGGGTCATCCACTTTCCTAAGTATGATAGCCACATCATGTCTAAAAGGAATCCCAACAAGATCCCAAAAGTTGCATGAACGTGACTGTTTCTCTAAATCCACTACAAAACTATCAGTGAACAAAACATGCGTGACTTGAAAGGTTAACCTACCAACATAGGTTGTTGTCCAACTAGCGTTTTTTTCAATCTCTCTATATAGTCTCCTTAATGGTTTTGTCATTATTTTCCCTTTATAACTATCTACTTTTTCTCTAAGTGTGGAAAACCTCCCCATTAGGTAATTCCTAATCCACTAAAACATTGTAATGATTGGTTTGTCTCTTCGTAACAGAATGGTTGCATTGAAAGACTCACTTAAATTGTTCATTAAGACATCACACTTTGAGAAAAAGGGAAAAACATGCTTACACTTTGGAAGTTGTTGCGAGTTGGATATTCAATTCTTTTTTAAATCATTTTTGTGAAAATGAAGTATTTATAAGACAAAATTGAAGTTAATATGTTTAATTACTATGATTGATGCAACTCCGTTGCGATGATACTCTAAGTGAAAGTGTGCATGCAATGACAGGTGTTGGATGTTGTTTTATTTCCTGCGCCGTGTTTTCAAAATGTCTATGTTTGGTTGAAGTGTTGTCGTTGGTGACACCTTAAATTATGACGAAATAACTTAAAATCTTCCACCAAAGAAGCTGCTTCAACTTGAATAGAAATATCAATCCAACAGAAGATCACCCTCCAAACTTAGGGTGTGACATTACGGTACAGAAACATACATATGGTTTATTCATCTTCACAAAAGCACATATGACAAATCAGATTGTGACTTTCAGATAAAACTTTATTTGTGAGTTTCTTAATATATCCCATTAAATTACAATTTTTACATGTTAGCATTATCTATATTTAAATAAAAATTAATAATATCAATAATTAATTTCACAAAATCTAAAATGGAATAAATTGTTTGATTAAGGCAGCTCAGTTGAGTTGTCGTTGTGTAGGCATGGCCAATCCAAAATGTATCGAGGTCCAAGATGAATTTTAAAATGTCACATCTAATATATATATATATATATATATATATATATATATATATATATATATATATATATATATATATATATATATATATATATATATATATATATATATATATATATATATATTGAAATTAAATTATATATTAATTTGTTATAATTAAATTTATTTAACATGTTTTAGTTGATAATAGAATCATTATATCCAATCTTAATTGGAAAAATAGTTGATCTTAAATAAACTTTTTCTTATATTTAATTTATTTATTATTTATTCTTTTAATTTAGATTAAATTTTTCGCTAATTTGAGATTAAGGTTGAAACAATATAATGAAACAATATAAATATTGAATAACAGAAAGAAAAAATTGGAGACAAAAGACGGTAGCCTCGGTCGCCAAAATCGTGTGTAAAAACATCCGATAAAAAAACGCGAATTTGAATTTACAACATTTCATTAGTTCATCTTTAATAATATTTAATAATATAAACTACATCTATTGGACTACTAAAAAAAATGGAATAAGTTATTATATTTGTCTAAAATTTTATAACACACTCTTAAATAGATTCTTAAATTTGAATATTTCAGAAATATCTGAGTATTAATTTTGTTTTCATATTTCTTAAATAGATTTGGTAGAGATTAAATTGACGACAGGACATGCGTTCGCAGTTGCATCACTTCCTCGATCGTCAGCGTATATTCTCACATGATTCATAGTAATTCATAAGTGTAACAAACAATTAAGAGAAATAAAAGAGTAATTTGACTAGGAATATTCTTGCTCACGAGTGTAACGCCTATGATCTCTCGTCTGTTTTGAATAATTCCTGCTTATTCAAATTATGATATGTTTAATTTTTTGAAAGCCAAGTCAAATGTATTTTGTAGAATCAAAATCGTTCTCCTTATGATACGACTTCGTCTTTCTATATATAGCAGATTTATTAAATGACACTCCTTGAACAAGCGAGAATAAATTATTTTTAGTGAACAGTGTCACTGAAAATGGCGGTTTCTTTAGAAGCTTTGGCCATGGCAGGTGTTAGTTGTGTGAAATTTGGCATGAGTGTTGAAGAATGGGAACGCAGAGATTTGGATCCATATCCACCACCGCATTTACTAGCTGAAGAAGAAGAAGGTGAAAGTAGCATCGATGAAGAAGAGTGTCGTGTCACATTCACCAATCATGAAGAAAAAGGGAAGAGAAAGCAGGAATTAAGAAGGGTGGAAAAATGCTCCAGGACTATTAAATTAATGGCTAGAGCATTTGGAATGTTATTATCATTATTTTGTCTTATAAGAACAAGAGATTAGGGTTCTTATTAATCTTTTTAATAATATACTGTTCATATTAGTAGGCATTTATCCAAGTTAATGTAATTTGACATTTATCAATGGTAACCAAACTTGTTATTAACACCCGGGTTGGCATTTGGCATAGTGGTGTAGGATTGGATACGAGTATATGTTTTTTTCGAGATTTCAAATTCAAACTTTATCAGGTTAAATAACTCGTGTGTTAAATCCATACAAAACTTTACTCCATCTTTAAACAATTCCAATCCCAATCCTGTAACTGGACAGTGAGATTAGTATACAAAACTTAAAAAAATCTTATATGCTTCATTGTATGGTTTATAGAAACCTAAAGTTACGTACCTCCTTAATTAAAAAAGCATGTTAGCTATATAGATAATTGTATTCTATTTTTTCTTTTTCTTTTTTTCGGATTAACTAGAGACAACCAGCAGTTATAGTTATGGTCATTAAATTATGAGAATTTGGTTTTAATTATTTGAAAGGTTTGTATTTGAGTTGTGCACTCTTGTACTTTTTTTTATTTGATTTTGCGCTTATATATATATATATATATATATATATATATATATATATATATATATATATATATATATATATATATATATATATATATATATATATATATATATATATATATATATATATATATATATATATATATATATATATATATATATATATATATATATATATATAAGCGCAAAATCAAATAAAAAATTACAAGAGTGCACAACTCGAATACAAACATAACATCCGACAAAAAGAATGTAATTCTTTGAGAATGTAACCCATATTTGTTGAATATTAAGTTTTATCATGTTAAATACATAATTATATTTGAATGGTATTAAAAAAATTAGTAAGATAAATTGGTGAACCTTTATTTTTTTTATAGGCAAATACTTATATTCAAAGTGAAGAGAGGTATTAGGGATATCTTAACTCAACTTACAAAAGGCTCAAATAGAAATACTCCTAAAAAAAATAGGAACACAACAACAACAAATATTACAACCCTATATAAAGTTAGTAGAACATTTGGTCCATTCATAGAGATTACACTTAGGTCTACCATTGTAACAAATGGTCACCCACCACCACGATGTAGTAATCGGTCTTTAAACAATTTCTTCCGCATTATCAATAGTGTCATTAAAATTAATTTGATTTCGACACCACCAAATACTCTAACAAGTTGCAAACTAAATTATATAAGCAAAACGACTTCTCGCTCTCTTTTTTATTTTGACAAACCACTTCAAAAAATGATTTATATAGCTATACTCAACAAGAGGTTCAATGTCCACCCAATTCTCAACCGATTTTCATACAACACATAATCGTAAGCAACCAATGAAAAGATGATTTATATCTTCTTCCACATTAAAACAAAACACACATACTTTTTCATGAGAGTTTGAAATAATACCTCTTGCAAAGAGTTTTTCCCGAGTCGGTAATCGGTCCAACAAGAACCTCCACCCGAAGATCTTAATTTTTAAAGGGATATTGGTTTGCCACAACACCTTCAAGACTACCTTTAAGTTCTCACCTACCTCCTCCAAGGGGTGAGCTTGCGACAAAATCTTGTAGCAGGAACCAACAGAAAACTCATGAAAAATACCATAAGACCAGTGGAAAGAATCAGGCATACCACGAGTTGGTTTGAACTCAGACAGTAGATGTAGCAGCTCATTAAATTCATCTTGCAAACTAGTAGCTTCATCCAAGGAATTAACATCAAGCTCCCAACTCCAATAATCTCCCACCCAAACACCCATCTCACTAACCAATTCCTCTTTTTTAGACGAAGCTTCAAACAGAGTAGGAAAAAGGCCACATAATTTGACTTTGCCAAGCCAGCCAAATATCCAAAAAGGAACTGTCGCACCATTACCAAGCTTGCAAGATAAATGATTGATAAACCCTGTCGCATCTGTAGCATCTCCTAAAGCCATAACATCCCTCCATCATAAGGATTCTCCACCAGCCACACTATGTCTAACCTTCCCAATGATTCTCTTTATGGTATTCCCATATCTCAAATCGATAATTCCCCTCCAAACCGCATCCGATTCAGACAAAAATCTCCACAACCATTTCGAAACCAAAACTCTATTAAATAAGCCCACATTCTTAATTCCCAAACCACCAATTTCCTTGGATTTATAGATTTTTGCCCAACTAACCCAAGATATTTTACACTTACAACCCGAGCCAGATCACAGGAATCGACATTGAATGGATATTAGAACATTAATAACTTTAGCCGGCGCAATAAAGAACGAAAGGTGGTGGACTGACAGGTTTGTTAAAACCAAATTGATGAGGGTAACTCTACCCGCGATTGACAGCAATTTCCCTTTCCATTTCGACAGTCTTGCACGAAAACAATCAATGACTGGATTCCAAAAGGAGATCCTCCTGTGATTTCCCCCAACGGTGATGCCCAGAAATTTAAAAGGAGGAAGCGCATATTTACAGACGAGAAAATGGGTTGCAGCGCTAAGAAAATGATCATCGACAGTGATACCGTATAAACAACTTTTCCAGAAATTTATTTTTAATCCTAAAACCATTTCAAATCCCCTCAACACCACCTTTAAACCCCAAAATCTCGACCAAGAACTGTTAGGAAAGATTTTCACTAGGGAGCATTGAACATTGTGAGACTTTCTTTTTCTAGAGCAACACCTTTGTGAGAGACACACCACACACTCACCCAAAACCTTAAGGTGATAGGTGTATGGGTTCTCCCACTTATAAATTCTCAACGTTTCATATTTCTAGCCAATATGAAACTATTACCCATACTACTCATACTTATTATACTTAACACTCTCCCTCAAGTGTGAGTCTATCCACAATGCTTCCACAATACTCTTCTTTAAGCGAAAGCTTCATCCACATACACTTGTACCGTCGTTGACACTCTTCAACGGGACACTCAACCCACCGCCTGTGGGGATATTTTCGATACAAGTGAGTCAGTCCTTCGCTCAAACCAAAGGCTCATGATACCACTGTTGGGGGCGGTTTAAAACTAGGGAGCATTGAACATTATGGGACTTTCTTTTTCTAGAGTAACATCTTTGTGAGAGACATACCACATACTCACTCAAAACCTTAAGGTGATAGGTGTATGTGTTAGACGATGGCACGAATCTATAAGGGGGGTTGAATAGATCCCTTATTTAAAAAATGAGTTGGTGCTACCAATAAAATGGTTTTAAAAAATTTGTTTAATTTGCGGAAGCGACTGTGGAAAAGTTACCGTCTATAACGAACCGTTACTAGAAAGCCGAATATGCGTCTAGCCTATGGAAATTTATAATGAGATATGAGAATCACCACGCTAGTCACACTACCAATTTGATTTAGATCACTACTTGGTATGACTAGTTCCAATGCCTTAAAATGCCAACAAAATAAATGGACAACACACGAGAATTTTGGTTTAGACAATTTATCAAACACTTGGCATGCAGAGCACTCAAAGTGAGTTCAGCTTTGAGTAAGTAGCTCTAGTTTCCTTGTACAATAAACTATTCTACTAGAGTCAAAATTAATTCAGTACTTACTCAAAACAGTCCTAAATTCGATATAATTGTTTGTACGAAAATCTCAGAAATATTAAGCAAATGTAAAAGCGTAATGTAAAAGGTACAAGGATTTGTTGAGGCAGTTCCTCTGCCGTCCTCGCTTCGGGGTACGTCTGCCCTCAATTCTAACAATAGAATTGAGCTCGTATAATATAAATGTAACCTGCTGTAGAATCGTTTATACAAGAATAAAATAGCAAATACACAAACAAACTCCCTTGTTGTTGAAGATGCTTTCTCTTCTTGTCCCTTGATTCGAGTTAAATCAAGTCCTTCGATAGCTTGTGGATGAACCTCCGATTACAGCTCTTTGTTTGAACAAACTTACATCTTCAAACCCTAGCCCGGCTGATCTCAAACACTCGCTAATCAAACCTGAACTTCTCCGTCACAATTCATCGATTACGGCTACTAGATCGACGGAACCCACCGCTCCTCGATCACCTTCGCTCATCTGAATATATGTTGAGAAAATTTATACCAAAACCCCCCCAAATGCAGAGAATCTTGGAGGATAAAACCCTAGAGGTTTTATTCAAGAAAAACCTGCCAAAATCTCAATCCGAACCAGATTCTCAATCAACAGCTTCGGACGTTATCACTTCAAACAATCCATAATGCACAACAAAGATTATTGTGTGTGATTGTTGTGGTATGAAATGTAGAAGATGAAGATGATGAGAACTTCAATTGGCACCTCTTTCACTTTTCTTGTTTTCTAATTGATTCAATTGATATGAAATGAAATGAGCAACTTTCTATCAGATCAAAAATAACTGACAAAACCACTTTTCAAAAATGATAGACAGACTAAAATTATGCAGCAAACAGCGAACGGTCGACCCATACAGAGGGAAGGTTTGACCTGAGCTACCCCAAGCAAAACAGACTATGCAAAATAACCTGCTATGCATCGAGCGGAACAAGGTTATGCGTCGACGCAAAGCCTGAATTTTTTGACAAACAGAAATTATAACAGTATGCGTCGACCGGTAGGTCGACCATACCTATCCCGAGAGTTTTTCAAAATTTAGACACTTGTTATGAGTCGATCGGAGCAGGTGTGGTCGACTCAAACACTTGTATTTTTAGAAATTGCATAATCTTGATGTTTTTGACATACTTAGATGATACCTATGACGACCAATGGGATTTTAACTCGTATGACGCATATTCTAATACTACAAAGTGCAGTACTAGAGATGCGTTGTGCAAGCAAATGAAACATGACAAATATGGTATGCTTGTGCATTGCGGTGATAACGCCAAACATCTCTTCTTCCATGCTACTGAGTTTTGACATCATCGAAACCCGGATATCTAGTATATGAGGTTTTGCCCTCACATACTCCCCATTTTTGATGATGGCAAAAACACATGGAACCCATTTGT